TGATTGATCCATGTGACTTATTTATTATTCAATATTTTTTAAAAAAAAACCTAAATAAATGTATATATCTGTAAAATCAAAGATGCTATAACAAATAATAGTTGAAATAAGTTTTTTAGGCACAAAAGTTAGTGTCCCAATATAAATTTAAAGATTTAAATGCTAAATATTTGGTAATTTTCATTTTTTTTCATCAAATTTTTTATCAGGCTGATAAAATGATAATCACTGATCATCAAAGACTTAATCGAAAAAATTTGTCGATCATTTCTAAATACAGATATGTTTCATAGGTCCCAGAATTTTGGGTCAGATTTATCAAAACTGAGTGATGCTAGCTAACCAACTATATAGCAGTCAGATATTGACATCATTAATAGGTTTATAGACTCAGTCATTAAAATTCAAACCAATATTCAGATTGCAAGTACTATCAACTTTCTTTTATTTTCTCATACTAGGACTTGTCAGAGGTAAAACTGACACCCCATAGAACCTGTGAAATGGATGTCATTGTGGCATACTTACCTAATTGAAGGTACCCATGACAATCCATTTGAAACATGTGCGCCTGGCCTCATGAAAGCTATATGACAGTACACAAGCCTCCATGCGGGACCCCACCACCCCCTCCAGAGAAAGAAAGGTCGACCTGGACCAACCTATTTGCATTAGGAATGGATGTTGACTCCACCTATCCTACTTGGATTAGGTGTGAGGTGATGTCAAAGGGGGTGTGATTGAAGACAATATGATGAATTCTGACCCCGGGATAGTGAAACTGAAACATTTCTCATTGGTTCTATGAAGACCGTAAGAAATGTTAAAGTAACGAAAGGCTGTGTGAAAGGGGTTAAAGGTTAGAACAAATAAGGTTGGGAAATGATGGGAACAATGAGAAGAGTCGTGGTCTTGTGCATGCTCTTCTCGCGCTCAATTCATTATAAAAATAATAGAATTTCCCTCTTCCAAAAGAATAGTTGAGAATCATACAATAGTTCAGAGTAAAGAACTGCCCGGATTAGTATAATAATACAGTCCTATAATTGTATTACCCCTACAAATAAAAATAAAAGTTAATAAAGCCTTTTTAACTTATAAAACAAATCAACGCTCTTTTAAAATCATGTACTTATCTTATAATGCTCCTTATCGTTCGCCTCAACCTTGTGCCAAATCGAAAAACCGCCTCTATTATCTTTGAGGAATGTTACGCGGCATAATCGTTTTTCAAGTGACAATCCGTCGCATTTGTCCCATCTCTGAACCCGTCCATAAAACCTGTCACAGAATGGATTGCAATGAAGAATATGGTTTCAGGTGACTGAAATGGTGTCTGCATAGATTTCCCCGTTCCTGGTTTCGCGCGACAACGTTGCGCAGCTACTTATTTATTATATTACCGTAACAGGAGGAACCGTCGATGTTACAAAAAATCATTTTACAATACTGCAATACCAGATCATTCCGCTAGTACATGTTATGATTATAATCCCACACCATTTTATTATAATAAAAATGGTGTGGGATTATAATCATAACATGTACTAGCGGAATGATCTGGTATTGTAAAATGATTTTTTTATATATTGCACACCGGGTGAAGAATCTGTCGTGTAACATCGACGGTTCCTCCTGTTTATTACTGTATGATAAATGACATTTTATGAAAATGGCAGTGTGATTAACGACCATGAATAATAAAAACATAAATAAACACTTTGCTTTGAACACAATTGCATAATAAATAGTCATATTTTTTTTCAAACGTTAAATATTTTGAACAAACAACATTTAAATACGAAGAATCAAATCAAAATACCAAGTCATTATTTGATTATAAATAAAACCGGAATTCGGTAAAAGAACAAACTAGGGATTGTATCAAGAAGTAGGGCGTAACACAACGAACTAAAGCGCGTAACGTAACGTAACGAACGTTCGTATTCGGTTACAATTGCACGCACGAGAATACATAAATTCAAAATAACAAATTAAAGTATAAAGCACAGATAAATTTAGTATGGACGTCAAATGAATAATTTCATATAGACTTCGATAATATTATTATCAAATGCAGTACTTTTGCATTAACGTTACTATTAGATCTGTAGATAGTGTCACGGGTTATATGGGCGAATTCAGAGATGGGGCGAATGCGACGAATTGTCGCTAGAAAGATAATTATGCCGCGTAACGTTCCTCAAAGATACAAGAGGCGGTTTTTCGATTTGGCACTGGTCGAGGCGATCGAAGAGGAGCGTTACAAGATGAGTATTACGATTTTAAAAGAGCGTTGGTTTATTTTTCAAGTCAAAAAGGGCTTTATTAACTTTATTAATATTTTGTAGAGGAATACAATTATATTATTAGGGACAGTTCTGAATTCTTGGACGATACTTTGATATTTTTCTTAACTGAGCTCTTGGAAGGGGGAAATTCTACCCTTTTTATAATGAATTCACCGCGAGAAGAGCCCGCACAAGACCACGACTCTCCTCATTATTTCCAACACTTCCCAACCTTATTTGTTATAACCTTTAACCCCTTCCACACAGCCTTCGTTACTTTAACATTTCTCACGGCTTTCATAGAACCGATGAGAAATGTTTCAGTTTCACGATCCCGGGGCCAGAACCCATCGTATTGTCTTTAATTGCACCCCCCTTGACATCGCCTCACACCTAACCCAAGTAAAGTAGGTGAAGTCAACGTCTATTCCCAGCGCAATAGGTTGGTCCAGATCGACCTTACTTTAATTGGAGGGGGTGGTTGGGTCCCGCATGGAGGCTTGTGTACTTTCATATGGCTTCTTTGGGGTCGGGCGCACATGTTTCAGATGGATCGTCGTCATGGGCAACTCTAATTAGGTAAGTATGCCACAATGACGTCCATTTCGCAGGTTCTATGAGGTGTCGGTTTTACCTCTGACAATAGTCAAATTAAATTATGCATTTAAACATCATAAGCGCCTAAGTTTTTTTTTTTTTTGCATAAATTAAAAATAAAGGTAGACTATTTTTGTAAAAGATTATCGTAAATGTATACTATAAATAACAATAAAAAATTATATACGTATCATTAAACATGAGTTTAACAGACAAAGAACTTCTTGAACTCGGATGGAAATATCAAAATGGCATTGGTGTCGAGAAAGATGAGTATAAGGCTTTTGAATATTATAAAAAGTCTGCAGATATGGGTTATGCAACTGCAAATAACGACGTTGGATATTGTTATCATCATGGAATTGGAGTTGAAAAAGATGAACATAAGGCATTCATTTATTATCAAAAGTCTGCAGATATGGGTTATGCAACTGCAAATAACGACGTTGGATATTGTTATCATCATGGAATTGGAGTTGAAAAAGATGAACATAAGGCATTCATTTATTATCAAAAATCTGCAGAAATGGGTGACGCTAGTGGAACAAATAGCGTTGGATATTGTTATCAACATGGAATTGGAGTTGAAAAAGATGAACATAAGGCATTCATTTATTATCAAAAATCTGCAGAAATGGGTGACGCTAGTGGAACAAATAGCGTTGGATATTGTTATCAACATGGAATTGGAGTTGAAAAAGATGAACATAAGGCATTCGTTTATTATCAAAAATCTGCCGAAATGGGTGATGCTAGTGGAACAAATAACGTTGCAAATTGTTATAACCATGGAATTGGAGTTGAAAAGGATGAACATAAGACATTCATTTATTATCAAAAATCTGCAGATATGGAGGACGGTTGGGGGACATATAACGTTGGATATTGTTATCATCATGGAATTGGAGTTGAAAAGGATGAATATAAGGCATTCATTTATTATCAAAAATCTGCAGAGATGGGTAACGCTAATGGAACAAATAGCGTTGGATTTTGTTATCAATATGATATTGGAACTGAAAAGGATGAGCATAAGGCATTCATTTATTATCAAAAATCTGCTGAGATGGGAAATGCAACTGCAAATAGCAATCTTGGACTTTGTTATCGAAATGGAATTGGAATTAAAAAGAATTATCATAAGGCATTCATTTATTATCAAAAATCTGCGGAGATGGGGGACGATTGGGGGACATATAACGTTGGTTATTGTTATTTTAATGGATTCGGAGTTGAAAATGATAATGGTAAGGCGTTCATTTATTTTAAAAAAGCAGCAGATATGGGGAACGTTAGTGGAATGATAAAAGTTGGAGACTGTTATAGAAATGGAATAGGAGTAGTAAGGGACTTACAACGAGCTAATCATTGGTATCGAAAGGGGATAAATATGAAAAAAATAAATAGACAAGTAATACTCGATGATTTAGATTATGATGATGAATTAAAGCAAATATTAAATGACGAAAAATATAAGCTAACGTGGATTCCTTACAACGAATTTGCAAAGATAAGAGAAATTGGAAAAGGTGGTTTTGCAAATGTATATTATGCCTATTGGTTTGATAAAAATGAACATTGTTGGAAAGATGTTGCACTAAAATTAATTTGTAATTCGAATAAATGTAGTCAAGAGTTTGTTGACGAGGTAATATTATAGTATTATTTAATATTATTGATTTAATTACTTTTCTTAATCCATTTAATTTTAAGTGATTCAATTATTTAAATATTAAATAGTCGAAAAAGTATTGCGAAATTGGATATGAGAATCCATCGTTTTTAAAATGTTACGGAGTATCAAGGGATCCGAATTCAAAAGATTATATTATAGTTTTGGAATATGCGCAAGAAGGATCATTGCGTGAAAACATTACTAAAATTGTAAAAATGGATTGGAACAAAAAGTTGAACCTGTTGTACTGTGTGGCTTCGGATCTGGAATCAATTCATTCCCAGGAATTAGTCCATAGAGATTTGCACTCCGGAAATATTTTGCAAGATCGTTTGCATAATGCGTACGTCACTGATTTAGGACTTTCAACATCTTCTGATATTAAACAGGATGGTAAAATTAATGGTGTCATGCCATATGTAGCACCCGAGGTCTTGATGGGTCAAAAATTCACGCAAGCGGCTGATATATACTCTTTCGGAGTTATTATGACCGAAATATCTACCGGAAAAAGAGCATTTGATGGTGTTCCTTTTAATATTAAACTTTCTTTAAAAATTTGTAAAGAAGATGAACGACCAGAATTTGGTGATGGAACTCCAGATTGCTACGTGAAACTGGCCAAAAGATGTATGGATTCTGATCCAAATGAACGACCAACGGCTACTATCATTTGCTCAAAAATTGTCCATTGGCTCGATGAGATGAAACAGAAGGATGATAACGAAATCAAAAAACAATTCTTAAAAGCTGATAAAATAATACCAAAAGTCGAATCGTCGATTCATCCGGGTCATATATATACAAGCAAACCGATTAATATAAAAATAAACGAAACTTAAATTCAAATAGGCAAGATGTATCTAGTCAGGGTTTGTCTATTTCTGACTGTTATTTCAAATGATGTTTAATTTTACATAAAAATATAAGTATTGCTAAAATTAGGATAATTAATAATGCAGGCGTTCGGGATTTTATTATTTTAAAATAGAAATTATTCATATTTGAAGCAAAATCTTAAACAATAAGACATAGTGCTTTTTTTAAAGATTATAGTTTCTGAATTTAATTTACTGTATTTGTAATAAAATATGGGGTGCGGACAATAGAAACAGCCCATTTTTTTGAAAAACAAGTTTTTATTATATTCATATAAATTTTGACATGGTTGACATTTTTCAATTATAAATGAAAGCCAATTTGCATAATAAAAAATCGAGATAATGTAGAAGACAAATTACACGAACACGTAGGGCCAACACATCACGAGATTACCTGATAGTCACCTGTTGCCTTTAACCAATCAAAATCGTGAAATTTGATTAATCCCGAAATCAAAACAAATCAATTATCTCAAAATAAGGTAAAAAATAAGTAGCTGCGCAACGTTGTCGCGCGAAACCAGGAATGGGGGAAATCTACGCAGACTCCATCTCAGTCACGGGAAACCATATTCTTCATTGCAATCCATTCCTGATATAAGAAAATGACTCTTTATAAAAGAAGTTGATAGTACTTGCAATCTGA